AAAGAAAGAAAGAAAGAAAGAAAGAAAGAAAGAAAGAAAGAAAGAAAGAAAGAAAGAAAGAAAGAAAGAAAGAAAGAAAGAAAGAAAGAAAGAAAAAGTGTAAGTGCCTGAAACCTCGATTCTTTTTAGTGACCATCAGGGGGCAACACCTAGTTGCAAAGAGAGTCCAGTTGCATAGATGTCTGTAAGAAAATGGACGTGTTTCAGATTTGTTTGGCGGCCTGAGAGGTCAAACACACTGCAACCTAAGAAAACACCAGCAAACAGAAAAACGCTACCAAAGCATACAAAACACAAGAGAAGTAATACTGTGGAAACATCTTTGCTATCAGTCGTTTAGTGTTAGCCTGTTCTGTCACTTATGCTGTGATTAATTCAACTTTTTTTTTTATTCAGCTTCCTTTGCATTTGGAGTGTTTTCTATTTGACAACGTTTTCTTCGGTTGCAGTGCATTTGATCTTTCAGAGTCACCGTAGCTTTGTGACTTCATTTTTTTAGGAGTTAATCGTCTCAGTCAGTTGTTTATTGCAGAACATTTTCTACATTTTAATGTCACATTTAAAGTAGAATAATTAAAAGGTACACTTCATTTGTGGCTAACTCATTATTGATAAGTTGGATGTGAGTATTCCTGGGTTCCTCGGTCAGCGCCACCCCGATCCTATGACTTGTGCTTTAAAAGACTAAACAAAATAACAAGCCAATATTTATCAAAGTCTAATGCATAAATCAGAAGTCACACTGACTATCTTATAATAACTACTGCCTGCACAGCAGGTCACTTTGTGAATTATATTGAGTTTATGGACTACTCTGAGCCTGCTAAATGGGTAATTGTGTTAAAATGTCACACTGAGAGTTCCTCACCAAGCTCCTGTATCCGAAGAGCTGCGAATAAGATCTCCCTTGCCACTCTACTTCATTCATTGACAGTTGGGTTTGTAATGTAGCCTTGAAGGTTAAAAAAAAAGCTACTAGATGTAATTCGTAAAATATAACTATTTATTACAAGTGCAATTATAATTGTTTTAAAATGTTCAGTGTATTTGCTGATACTTTTAAATATAATGGTAAATTAAATATCTTTTGGTTTTAAACTGTTGATCTAATTAAATAATGTCCTCAGGGTGACGTTTATTATATTTTACCGTTTTGTAACATTTTAAACACAATAAATAAATTTAAAAAACTGCTAATTAAATGATAATGAAAGCAGCCCATACACCTCTGCTTGTATCAGTCCACCTCATCAGATGGCACACCCTCCCTGTCTGAAAGCCCCTTAAAACTAAAGCACCACCTAAACGTCCAACAAGATTTCGAGGCCTTGTTTCTACTTTAACTGAACCAATCAAATGCAACAGGATATGTGAAAGACAAGAGGACAACTGCTTTTCCCTGTTCAGCTTATCAGTGAGATGCTGAGTGTGATGGCCGGCAAAAAACACAACTTGATATCCACTTCTGGTTCCTCATTCAAGCTCATTCAGTGACAGCTTTTCAAGTTGATTTTACTTCCACACCTGAGATTTAAAGAATTAAGCAGAAACTGCATCAGTGTCCTGTATTTGGTTGTTGATCAATGGTCATGACAATTTGTGCAATTAGCATCAAGAAACTGACCTCACAGCCCATTGTTGGTCAGTGATGCTAGTGTTGGTCATTATGCAAATGTACAGCTGGGGAAACCTGCAGTCAGATGAGACTGAAGAAGTCACTTGGATGAATGACGAAACGTTTCACCCGCTAAAAAAGGCCAAGTCCAGGTGAACAGAATCAGATTTTTGGGATTTCCTTACCTGGATGATTGAGCATGCATAAAGACACTGTACCTGGAACTTTCCCTCCTCGTTTGGTCTAAGAGACTCCCACTCGGGAGAGTCGAGGAACTGGTGTCGGTGGATGTAATGCAGAAACTGGCCCTCCAAAGACACGTTGATCCTGAGACAGAGAGCAACAGATACAAGGTTAAAAAGGGAAACGGGATTAAGAAGTGATAATGACAGCAGAGAGAGTTGGAGGTCACAGCAGGTCTAAGACGCTGGAGGTGGATATGGGCAGAAGTACCTGCCGCAGACAAGCTACCGGACTTTAGTGGACAGAGGTTAAGTATGTTATTGCTAATCAAATGAAGTAAGTTTTCAAATAGGTTGAGAAACGGGACCCATTACTTAGAATTAGTAGCTCTAATAAACAATCGTGTGCAGGGATTTTTTGTCCTGAGGTTTCTTGCAAAAGATTTTAATTCAAGTCATTCCCACATGTGCTGCGGCACCACTACTACTTTGTTTGTTTGTTTGTTTTAAATTAACACATGATTCTTTAATTTCAAGGACTAATTATTTCTCTATGCACGACAACTTTATTGTGTTTTGTTCTTCATTCACTGTAGGCTGAACGTGTTCATATCAATGATGGGACTATCGTGTATATTCGGTCATCTGACTAAATCTAAAGTCAAATCTGAAGTCACTACAACCTGATGAGGGCAAGCTAAGGCAAGCCCAGATTACAAAGACATTTGTATTGGAAAAAGCTGTATCACTGTTATTATGTTAATGGATTTCTCTCTAGAGCCTATTACTGTGTGTTAAAACTGCTAGAAGCATTTATTTAGACACTTCAAAACAATAGGTGTTAATTGCAAGCTATTTGCCAGAGTGTTGTTGCATTAATTACCCTCAAGGCACAACCAAAGGTATTTCAATTGGGGAATCCCATTCTAAAAGTGTCAGTGCACTGCTGGCACTTTGGCATATGTACTATATGGTCCAGATTTTGTGGACACAGGCTTACTCCAGAGTTCTGTTTCCCCGATTTGATTGGATTAACTGTTGTTCCTGAAGGGGAGCAAATACATAAAACCAGGTTCCTACAACTTGCTAAACTTTTCCAAATCTTCCCAAAAGATGCAGATTTATGTCCACTGTTTTTAAATGAGAGGTCACATATGTATTTGGCTGTGGAATACAACCATATCAAGCATCTGGCTTTGAAAATTACTCATGAATTGCACACAAAAGAAAGGCTTTCCAACAAAACAGTAATAATACGTGTTTCTGGCAAATCAGAAGATGCAGATGAATAGAAAAATAAAACGGAAATCTTTGCCAAGAATTCACAGCGTAAGAAAGGAAACGTTTAGCTCATTTGCTCGTAGTTCCAAATTTGGCTTGTAAACTCAGAGCTGTCAGCACCGTGGCCAACATTTAATTTAAGGTGAGAGGAGCCGTCAGTGTCACTCTCCTGTCGGGAGCACAAAGATATGATTTAACCAGCTGGCAGTGAGCAAGGGGACGACACACCAGTGAGTCACAGACAAAAATACTCTGTTTACAACATTTCTCTTGTGTAGCTTCCAGGACTGTGAGATCTAATGCAGCTCTGCTTTGAGGATGTTTGGAGGAAGAGGACAGAGTTCCTTTGACGGTTATGTACTGCCAACAGTCTCAGAGTCATTAATTAAGTTTACTTTTAAATATTTATGTGATGTTATGGGGGGGGGGTTCCCAGTATTGGAAAAATGTAAGCCTGCGGTATAAATTGACATACTTTAAGCACCTTCTGCTTCATTTATTCGGTCTGTTACAGCACTCTTTTTAACTTTGCCTACTAAAGTGACTTTAATATCTCAACACTCTGTGGCAGTATGTGGACAGAATGTCTGCACAACAATGCAAAGCACTCATGCAGATTGTGTCTGCATGCATTTGAGTTTCTACATCGAAAATAAAGAATACTACAGCATCTTTGCAACTGTTAGACTGCATGTGCATATAGGCCCAATAATAAAGGTGCAAAGTTTTTGTTTTTAACATCACTGTTGGTTAGGGTGCTCTGTGTTTTTAATTAACAGACAAAACTACTGTATTGTTTTATTATCATTGCCCTCATTTTCATCATTTTTTACTAACCAGCGAGGACATTTAAGCAGATAAATTCCAAATTTAAAAAACAGAGAAAAAGGAGAAGAAATCAGAGCTTGAAAAATAGTGAAAATTGAATTCTAATGAATGTTATTGTTGTTCCATGCCAAGTGGCTCTGTAACTGGGCAAAGGCTCCGTCACACTGGATTAAAAATAGAACAGCAACCTCAATGCAACTGGAAATTGGTAGCTGCCCTTTGATTACACTAAAGAGACTGATTGCAAGTAGTTGCACAGACCAAATGGTCAACCACTTTTGATTGCAAGGTGAATGGACAGGTCACCTGGTGGAAGGCAACCTGTCTCAACACAGCTACAGTCCAGCTGCAGTGACTGCAGTCACTCAGATTCATTAGAGAAGGTTTGCAAATCGTTGCCTTCTAATTTATAAATGCAGACAAACTGCCAACAGTTTGCAATTAGTCTGAGTCAGCTTGCACCAGTAATGTTTTAAAAACTGTAGAAAGGCTGAATCAACTGGTTGCCAACTGGTTATATTGCAATTATGTTCCAATATATTGCAAAAAGACCACTGAGACCCTGAATCATTTTGGGATTTTTGCTGATTCTTCATATTTAATCGCCATATTATCACAGAACGACTGCCCAATTGCCATTTTATTGGTATATTGCTTGATTTGCAACTTGTTTCAGCTAAATGCAGGTGGCCACCATCTTTAGAGCAACCGTTTCAAAGACAATGAGACTGCAAGTTCATTGCACACAGCTATGGCAGTTTTGGTAAGACTCACAGTCTCCAACATGTTCCCTGCATCACCCTCAAAGGTGATACAGATTTGGTGTTTGCAGCTTATTTCTACTTTTAAACAGAGCTTTACCTACAAGTATTTTTCTTTTATCATGCAGGTGTTTGGGGATTCACAGAACCCTCGATGCGATACAGTAAGATACAATCCATGATAACAATCACTCTACAACACTACTACAGCTAGTAAAATCGAAGATATGAACACCACCAAAAAAAAGTAAAAGCAGTAGCTATGTGTGTATTCACAACATTTTGAGATAGGTTTTGTTTGTATTTTTATGTATGAATATTACTGTGTCAGTTCTTTTTATTAGCTCTCGGATTAGCTTTTTCCTGCTGATTGCCACTTCATTAGCCTGATTTTTCTGTAAAACGCCCCCACCAGGAGTCATAAAGCAGGGATCTTGGCAACTTAAAGTGGTGCATCACAAGACGATATAATAAAATGTAGTGCTACATGTGTTTTACGGCCACACTTTAGGTGCGTGCCATCTTGGAGATGTGTGTCAAAGTGTAATCGTCTGCGCACACAGACACACAAGCACATTGCCCACTCACTCACCTTCCAGAAAGCAGAAAGGAGAGCCGGTCAATGGGGGTCTTTCCCTCCACAGCATAAGTCTCTCCTGCTTTCAGCTCCAGCACCTTGTTCTCAAAAGCCTTTGCAATCTCCTTGAACACCTGGACAGGCACGCCCAGGGGCAGGTAGACCGCCTGGTAGAGGGAGGCCAGCTCCTCACCTCGTATGCCCTCCTGGTGCAGCCGGTAAAGGAGGTGACAGAGCTGAAGCAAGCAGACCAGCAGTAGAAGCAGGTTCCAGGTGAAGACATCCAGGCCGCACACTGTAAGCAATCCCCACAGAAGAAGACACAGGAAACCGGGACAAAGGAAGCCGAAGATGAAGAGGCACCCGTAGGCCCCGCTTCCTCCCATGTAGCCCAGAAACAGGATGGTGTTACCCAACTGGTAGATGGCTCCCTCTGTGTTGTTGCTCCAGCCATCGCAGAGAGGGGGAAAGAGCAGGCTGTCCAGCAGGCTAGAGTTGTCTGCACTCATGTTTAAATCTTTTCGAATAAGTTCTGGAAAGGTTCTTGGTGCACAAAGCAAAGTTTGTTTGTTTTGTGTGTTGTTGTTTTTTAAGAAGGGACCAATAAGACTTGTTTTCCACTCAAACTAAGTGCTGTTTCTGTCCTATTACTAGATCATCTGTTTGGATTACAGCTTGATTAAAAATAAACAGCCTGATACTGACCAAAAATGTCAGAGGTAATTGTTTGTTCCCTTGGCGTGCAGCGGCAGAAAATTCTTCACCATGAAGATGTTATCACGACTCTATTTGTTGCAGAAACACAGCTGGAATGGGTTTCCTCTGTTTCTTCTCCTCTCATCATGCGTCCCTTCCTCTCTCCTCTGGCTTCTCCCGTCTTTCCCTTCCAAGTTTTCCCGTAGTCTTTCTTGATGTGCTTTTCTGTCTCTTTTTCTCACCCTCTGGCCTGCACCGTAGAGCCACCAGCTGGAAGAGAAAGGGATAAGGGAGGCGAGGGGGGGAGTCGATAGGGCCCTAGAAGGATAACCATGTTTGGAATTGAAACCCAAGGAGGACAGAGTGGCAGACAGAAAGCAGGCCTGCTACTTAACATAACAGAAAGAGAGACAGAGAGGGGAGAGGGAGGCAGGAAACAGGAGGGAGAAGAGGGACTATAACAAGTAGTATCTCAGAGAGACTCACAAAGTGTCACCCACTTTTTTTTATCTGACAAAGAAGTTCCTCCAAGGGGGTTCAGAGTTTCACACAGGCTTCACTGAGTCCAGTTTGCTCGCAGGAAGTGTGGCTCTGCTGGTGCATATTTAGAGACACTGTAATAAGTAGGATGGCAGCTCAGGTCAGATTTCAGGTATAAACACACACCAACATCGCCTCACATATCCGGCTCTCAGTGTGTGGACAGCTCACAGGGACTAAATATCAGTCTATATGAATATTGCTCAGTGAAAATAAGAATGAATGCTATTTTAAAATTAAAACTTTGCAATGGAAATTAATATTAAGAAGTGTTGATTTTCAAGGTACAAGAATACAAAACTCCATATATTCAGCAACAGTGCTTCCAGTTTTTGACTGATTTTTCTTTCTCTCCGTTTGGCTGTTTGTGTCGCTGTTGCCCTGCCAGTTGTCTCTGGTTAACAGGAGGACAGCAATCCGAATCCTAGTGAATAAAAGCAGATGAAAGCTAGTTGGGCTTCTTATGTCTATGATTTCCTTTAGGGTACGGTGAGTGATGAACCAATATATCAGCCAAACATCAATATTGGAAATAAGGAGACACACTGTTTGCAGTACTAAATGATCAGAGATAATGTAATCAAAAAAAGGACTTTAAATTCAGTGCAATAAAAGTTACAGCCAGACGTGCTTTTTCCTCCCGTCAGGGTGGAGGGTGTGTTTTCAGTGCAATTTGTCGGAGAGGTGGATCACGTGCAAAAGAAGAAAGCAATAAATGTAGGCGAATTTCTCAATTGCTTCATTTTTAATTTGAGAAAAAGAGCTTTGGTTTTAGCATTCTCCATGAGCACCCTTCTGTGTAAGATTTCTCTAATTTGTTGCAGACATAAAATTATGAATGTTAGCTAAGTGAACAGATAATCTCTCATTTTAAGTTAGTATAAGCATGCACTGAATTAAGAATCTGACATGATTTGAGGTGACTTTTAAACTGCTGACTGGCAACATATATATATATTTTAT